GTAGGGTGCGGTTTCAAGTTGGCAGAGGACCAACCACCTACATGCTCAAGCTGTTGTATTAGCCGCATTTGGACCTTAGCAACCGAGACGCATGGCTCTTACTCCGGCTCCCCTTTTCACCACTAGGGGCTCCTCAATTCAAGCGACATGTCCAGGTGGCATTCTTCCTTTGCCATGTGGCTGCGGGTCAAAGATGGGTACCCAAAATTCACCCAGGTAAATGGCCATAGGAACTAAAATCTGCGGTCCCTGGTTGTTTAATTTTGACCCACAGCCATGTCAACGAGGCTCGCTCCAATCTGAGGTGCTGGAAGCCCTTTCATACGGAAGTGCGATGGGAAGGGCACTGCACATTCCCCGAGCCAAAGAAAGCGAACAGCAAAGCTCGGGATACTTAGGGAGCGTGTCTAAGGGGGACAAGAGGTTTGTGGTCGGATTTCATTGTGCCAAATACGTACACGCGCAAGGATATAGATATAGTATGTACGGACACCTGCATATCCTACCTACATCGCTATTACTAAGCAAACGTACATATGTATGTATGTAAACAGTCCTGTCTAATTTGATGTTTACATGTGATTACAACACATGTAGACTTATGTATGTTTGGACGTGAGACACCCCAGTCTCCTTCTCTCTATGTTTCTCTTTCTCTTCCTCCTCCTCTTCCTCTTCCCCTCCTGTTCCCCTTCCTCTTCCTCTTTCTCTTTCTCCATCTTTTGTCTTTGTCTTTCTCTTATTCTTGATCATTCTTTTTCTCTGTCTCTGTATCTTTGTCAATTTGCGCTTATCGTTATCCCTTTCCCTTTCCCTTTCCCTTCCTCCCTCCTCTCCCTCCTCCTCCTCCTCCTCCTCCTCCTCCTCCTCTCCCTCCTCCTCCTCTTCCTCCTCCTCCTCCTCCTCCTCTCCCTCCTCCTCCTCCTCCTGAAATCTCTCTCTCCCTCCTCCTCCCTCAAAAACAACATCCCCCTACGATGTGTTCAGAAGACCCCCCCTACCTTCGTGCCAGGCCCCAGCGCGCAGTTCGGGCTTGCAAGGCGGGGGTTTCCGGGAGAGGCCGCCGGTTTTTTGGAATCCCTAGAAAAAAAATTAGTTGGTTTCCAAAAACGTGCTGTTTCCCCTGGGTTTTTGAGGGTTTCAAGGAAGGTACCCCTAGAAGGTTTTCCGGAGCCTTCCGACACTCTTTTCCAGAGGTCTTCACCCGCCAGGGCGCCAGTTTTGGAGCGCGGGGCCGGACCGCGAGATGTGCAGAGGCCGGGCCTAGCTAGCTCTTCCGACTTCCAGAAATCAGAGTTTACCTGGGCGTGACTATTTTTCATGGTTGTTGTTGGGACACATTTTACATTTTTGTTTTATGGTGGTTTAGTGGCTGAAATCCCCACGAAACTGCTAAAAAAATGCTCCCCTTCCAACGTTAACCGAGTTTTGAGGGTACTCTTTCTGGATGGTTTTGAATGAAAACCAAGAGGAACATGACTTTAGTGTCCCCTAGAAAAGACAGACCTAAAGGGAGTCCCTTTTCCACAAGGGTGTGAAAAGAAGGCACACCCAGCCCGGATTGGTGTGGTTGTACACTTTTCTCCGACGTGTGTGGTTGGGACGAGGCTGTTTTTTAAGCGAGGTCTCAGGGGCGAGGGTATGGAAGCACACTTCCATGCGGCAAGGGGTCTTTCAGTCTTTCACGCCTTTTTGGAGAGAGTTTTTTTCGAGGGTAGTGCAACCATAGGTGTCCTTTTAGGATAAGTTTGGGTAGAAATCGATGGGCTCCACTGGTTTAGATGAGTGTAGTTCCCCATTCCCCAGGATTCCGCCCATCTATTTCACCAAAAGGACACCAAGGCCTGCAACTTGTTGGATCCTTCCCACGCAAGCCGCTTGAAGCCGTGGCTTCGAGCACCGGGGCTTGAAGCCGCGGAAAGCTGCCAGGCGTTCGACCCCTTTGGTTGGAAGGGCGCCTTCAAAGATACCGTGGAGGGCCTCATGGACAGCCGATGGCGGCGGATGCGTTGGGGGGGGAGCAAAGGGGCGAGGCAAATTTTGCTTGGAGAGTGCGTGTGCTGGAAGGTCTGGCCAGGTGGAAGATCTGGCCGGCGCTTTGTCCTTTTTTGGCTTGGCGGCCAGATCTGAGGTGTTCAGTTTTGGGTTTGGTTGCCGGGTTGAAACTCAGTGGTCAGTAAGCTCAGTATTGTGAGAAAGCCCATTCGAAGACTTTGGGTTTGAGATTGCACCGGACCACTTGCCAAAGCTTGGTCTTTAAAAGTGCAAGGGACTCCCTTGCCTCCGAGTGATAAAGGGGGGGAGGAAAATCAGAGTTGTATGCCCCAATGGCTTTTATGAGTGCGTGGTTCTACCTGGTTGAGAAAGGATTGTAGTAGCAAAAACTCCCTGAGGTCCTGGACCTTAAACACTTTTTGGGTTTGGGCCGTTTTAGTGGCAAATAAACAGTTTGGGGACTCTTCTTGGCCAGTCCACTCGATCGGAAGTGAGGCCGGGCCCATCTAAACCTTTCTCATTTGAGTGGCCTTCAAATCTTGCTGATTTTGCAGCACATGCGATATGGAATGACCCCACAAACCATCCCGTTTTGGTTTCCTCTACTCGGCGACCAAAGCCTAGAATCCATGGCCCATGCTTTCCTGTAAGGGAATCCCAAACGGCTTAACTGCTATTGGGTTGGATCTTTAGACTGTCACTTTTGGTTGAAATCAAGGGTTTTCCACGAAACCTCCAAAAAGTTGAAAACTTTTTGCAGGGGGGTCAACAGCAACCAAGCCTTTTCTTGGTGGCTCCCAGCCATCCCCTAGCTGTTTAGCCTTTTGAGTGTTTAGTGGTCGTTTCAATGTAGACCACTTTTTTTTTTTTCGACCACTTTTAGTGGTCGTTTCAATTTAGACCACTAAAAGTGAGTCACTTTCGGGGGGTCTTGCCAGCAACCCAGACGCTTCATCTCCCGGACCTCCGCTCGGACCTCCGCTCGAAAACGAAAAAACCGGGCGAGGACGGCCTCAGCGGAACTGATGAGGAGCTTGGGGCCCTGGAAGCCTTCGGCCGGCCGACTTTTGTTTTTAGAATTAAGGCGACTCCACCGGCTTGTTATACAGATACATATACATATGAACACATATAGTTGTCTAAATACATATATATATATATATTTATGCATCCTTTTTTTTTTTTTTGGGGGGGGGGGGTTTAGAACGAGCGAACTCCCAAGATGTGAGACCTTTATTCGGGGTTGCCTGATTTCAGGTTTCGGAATTTGCGCTAGAAACGCAGATTTATGGAAGAAGGCAACAATGATAGAGCCGGTGGCTCATTCTATTCATGTAGTCAGAGATTTGTAGCCTGTCTTGTGAAAGTGTCTGAACATGCGGGTCGACCATGTGGGGGGGCCAGATGTTCGAGGCACCCATATGCACACGAGACAGCTTGAATTGCTTTGATGCAGCAAGCAATCTTTCGTTGCCTGGCGCGGGCAATTGGCCAGGCCGCTGTGCCTGGCGGAATGGCTTTAGTGAGAAAACAGCCATCAAGCAGTTGGCAGAAGGGTATGGCAAAAAAACCTTCAAACATAGAGATGGGTAGCTGGTCAAAGTGTGAGACAGTTGGGTAGCTGGTCAAATTTAAACCACCGGAAAATCAAGTTTTAGTCGAGGCCTCCAACCTCCAAGGGCCCTTTCGGGTCAGTTGGGTCAGCTACGGTTCTTTTCTTCCCTGAAGTTCCGGGCATCGTATTGAACGGAGGGGTTCCCATTTTTTCTTGTTGGGCGGGGGAGGGGGCGGGGGAGGGGGGTTTCCCTTGAAGCCACCACAAAGGGGGGGGGGAATTTTTGGAGAATGCCTTCCTGGAACGGAGCCGAAACAAGGAAGGCTTGTCAAGGTGCATGATGTTCACGTTTGGCGCCGAAGTGACTGAGGCCGTGTGTTGACGTGAATTGAGGAAGATTTGTGTTTGAACCAGGGTTCTGGTCGAATTTCTTTCAGGGGAAACCAAACAAGGTTGCTTGTTGTTCAAGCATGTTTCTTGCCGAAGCCAAAAGGCGGCTGTTCGAAGAATCGTTGTCTCATCTGCGGCTTAAAAGGCTTGATCCCCCCCAACCCGGAAGTCTCTGCCTGTGGCTAGGCCCAGCCAAGAGGAGGAGCAGATGGTGGTGGAGGCCGTACGAATAGCGCTCCAAAACTAAGGTTGGGCGTTGTCCGGCAAATCCAAGAATTTGTGCCCATCCGTGCTTCCAAACCAGGGAAGCCCATGCCGAATCGGCATGGCTTGCCAAAACTTGCTGATACTCAGTAGGAATGGCCTTCCGGGTGTTGGGAATGCACCGTTTGGGACTCCCTTAAAGGAACCCACATGCCACGGGGTCAGCCACCGGGGTCATTCCGTTTCTCCCTCCTTCCCATCTCTCGCACCGGACGCTCCGAGACCTGGGATTTGCAGGAAACGTTCGGTGTTCCTGTTGCTCGATTTCGGGGGAGTTCGGGGGAGTTCGGGGGATCTTGGCACCCCAACTACTGGCCCTCTTGCTTTCCCACCTACTGGCTAAACAGCAAGGGACCTCCCTCGCGTTTTCGACCGGCACTGGTTCTGTGTGTGGGTGGGTGTTTCGGTGTTTGTTTCTCAGGACACATACCCAGCTATGGGTGCCGTTTTGTTTTTTTGGAAGCTGCCAAAATTGTGGTTTTCCTTCTAGTTTCCTCTCAAACTCCACCAGCTGCCATGGGGTTGTGACTCAAACCCCACCAGGTGCATTAGGGGCAATCCGGATTTTTGGACCTGCTGTGGGTGCAGCCAACATGCCACTCACTATTTGTTCGATTGAAGAGACGTTGTGATACCTTGCTCTTTTTTCTTTCTCTGAATCCGTTTATTACAAAGATTCTCCAAGAGTCATGACCTTGACTCGTTCGATTCCGCATGAGAATATCTCCACTGGCATGAAGGACCGGTTGCGGCAGCCGCGCCCTCGTCAGCGCGTCATGTTGTCTGCGGCCGTTTCAGCTCAGTGGACTAGGTCAGGGGCCCGCCCCGCCGCGTCTGCTTAAAAATCGCAGCTCGGCGGCTTTGAATGGGGATGCTGCTTTCTTTTGGAGGGTACCGTTTTTTGGGTTGGTTTCTTTTGGGGTACCAAAAAGAAACCACAATTCCACAATTTTGCTGGGCTTCCCTTTGACGCATACCCAAAAGAAGGACACCGAAGGGTGGGGGGGCAGAACAAGATGCTTGTTGGGAAGAGTTGGTTCCTTTTACCATCCGAAGACTGGGAAGTGTTGGTTTGGCGTGTGTGGCTTAGAATTAGCGCCTATTCGAAATTGAAATTGAGAGTGTCACGTTGCAAGTTAATATGCTGCGGACATGTCCTCATATTTGCTGCTCATGTTGGCAGCGAGTCACTCTCCAGAAATTCACCAGGGAGGGGGGAGACCCAAAGCACCTGTCGCCCGCATGCATCTCAAACAGGAGTGGTTGCAACGAGGCTTAGCATTGCTTGCATTCCCGCTTTTTTGTTTCCTTTTTTTGTTTTTTTTCCTCTTCATTTTTTGTTTTTTGTTCCCCATTTTCCTTTTTTTTTCTTCTTCTTTTTTCTTTCCACTTGTGCAGCAAGTCGGCTGAGGCATAACCCTATAAACCCACAAAAAGAATCTGCGCGGGGGCCCAGAGCTGACCGGCCGAGTGGGGCCTGGGGGGGAGCTGAAGTCGAAGGGAGCCCAGGTCAGCTTCCCGTGTGGTGAGTGGGCCGTCCCTTTGCCTTGTGATGTGGCTGTGGGTCAAAACCAGTGGTACCATTTTGGGGTAGGTGAATTCACCACCCATTTCAGAACCTATTTTGGTGGGGATTGGGATGTTTACTGGGGACACGGGATTTTGACCCATGGCCATGTGACTCTGAAGGGGAGTGCCTTGATACTTTTTTTTGTGGACGAAATCTTGCACCGCTTTGAAACCAAGGGAAACCATGGTTTGTTGGTATTTACAGGGAATCGAATCATTCCAGGGTTTCTTAGGTGGTGCAGGGTTTCGTCCATCCACAGTATCACGGGAAAGTCGTGCCGGCGGACCATTCTCTCGCACCAAGCCTCGTTGAGCATCTTAAGGAGGGAGGCGACTAAGCAGTTAGCACACACACACATTGGCATGCAGGCCGACTTCGTAGCCAAAGCAAGAGCTTGCACCAGAGGTGCAGTTTTCGGTTTCGCAGATGGGCCGAACGAGATTTTTGCGGAAGCGCTTGCCCGGTTTTCCCAAAATGCAACGCGGCGGCATGTTGAAAGTGTCTATGGCAACTTCTATAGTTCCGTGTCTGTTAATGCGATAATCGCATTCATGCTGGAAGCAGCACGCATTCGAAAGGGAGCCGTATGAGATGCCGACCGCTCCCCCGCACTTTTTCCCTCTGTGAGCTGGACATCAATGACTCTACACATCGAGCCCATTTTTTTAAAGCCTTAAACATGACTGCAACCCTAAAGCCACTGAATGATTCCACTCTTTCCTTTTTGTGTGTTGTTTTTCTTGAACATCCTTTCCAACGAGGGACGTGTCCCTCTCTCCCCGCTGGAGCCTTGGAGCCCCGATCCGAGGTTTCTACCAGTCTCTTGTGCGCGCGGCCCTCGTGGAAGCGCGGTACTTTGAGGCGGGGAGGACAACGATGCGTAGGCGTAGGACGCCCAAGAGGGGGACCGAATTCCTTCAGGTGGCCAGTTCCCAATTTTCTTTTGGTTTCCACTCAAAAAGCGTTTTTTTTTTCTTTTTCTTTTTTTTTAAAAGGAAGGTTGGTTCCCCTTTCTTTTGGCTTCCAAGTAACACCCCATCCCAAAGCGGGACTGCCATTCTGGGAGGCCACTGGCAATATGATTGGCGGTATAGGAGTGGGGGAGGACTTTGCGGGATCCAACAAGAATCCACAATCAATGTGGCAACCCACTTTTTCATCATGTCCTTTGAAAGGAAATGGCTGGGATTGTTCGGGCGGGTTCTGGGCCAACAGTTCCACTCAGTGCGGTGAAGCAATCTGAGAGTTGGACCCGCTGGTTTTTGCGAGTGCTTGGTGGTGGGGAGGGGAGCCAGACATGTTTTTTTCCCGCTGAACGAAGAGGTCAGATGCTTCGTCAAGATGTCAACAGGCTTTTGGGTGGTCTTGGTCTCGTCCGAATGACGTTTTGAGTCGTATGGCTTTTCCTGGAAGTAGATTTGGGCAAGACTGTCGGTTCTTGCCAAAGCGCAGCGCCGTTTCCCAGGCGTCGTAATCCAAGCGTCAAGCTGAAGATCGGAAAAATCACTGAACGTTCCCGGGCAGCTGGCGGTTTTCAGATTCGAATGGAACCAACCTCCAGGCTTCCCAAGCAAAACTCCGGAAGTACGGGCGACGCATGCGCGCGCCGCGCGCCCAAACCCCTGGCCAGGCCTGCTGTGAAGCACCCGTTGCATCCTTTTCATTTCTGGCCGGGCGGCTCGGATAGGGTCGGGTGCATCTTGGGGGCCTTTCCAACATGGCTGTGGTTGTCAAAACCGTTTTGGGATCCCATTTTGGGGTAGGTGAACTCACCACCCATTTTAGAACCTATTTTAGTGGTTGGATTGGGATGTTCACTGGGGGCTAACCGATTTGGATTTTGACCCACGCCCACATGGCGCCCGTTCCGTTCCTTAAGCAAAGGCAACATGGAGAGGTCGCGCCAAGGCCTGCCGCTGGTCGACTTGAATTTGGGACGGAATGATTTGGGGCTTTGAGTCGGCTCTTGCTGCACTTTCTGTCTCGTCAGCTTTCCGTTTTATGCAATCCCTTCGGTGTGTGTTTCTAGTCTCTGCACATGAGAGCTGGGCGGCTTTGAATGGCTATGAAGGCAACCAATTGAAGCCTTCGTGCGAGCTGCTCCCCAGCCGTCGCACCTCTGCACGTCTTGCTCGGCCTGAGGCACCATGGCTGGAGCTCCTTGATGGGAAAACAGTGCACGGGGCTGGTGGAAGAGCTGGGAATTGGTTGCGTTTCCACTTTTTTTGGGCCTCCCTTCAAAAGCCACAAACATCCGAGTAGCCCTTTAGAAAAAAAGGCAGGCCAGAAACTTTGGGAGTCGAGGGATGGGAATCTCCTTGGGATGGGGCCTCCCCTTGCGGGTGCTCAGGGAATGAACCGGAAGGGAATCGATTCCCGAAGAAAGGAGACCATAGGAGGCATGATTTGTAGAGGTTCCAACTCATTCCCTGCTGAGAACCAGCAAGAAACTTCGATCGGAGTATAGGCCCGCTGTGGTTGCTGCTCCGTGGCTCGCTGCGCAGCCGGAAAGGGATCAAAGAGCACTCAGCTACTTGTATGGTGCTACGAAGTGAGTAAGGATTTCGTTTCAGGGTATCATGTTGATCCTTAAAAACTGATTAAGCCAGGTTAACACATTCTAGTTGGGTAAAAAAAAGGCGCCTGAGATTGCGAAGCTTGGCTTGGAGCAATTTGTCAGTTCATGCCGGATGAAGAATCCTGGCAGATTGGGGGGTGTTCTCCCCAAAACAGGTTTCCCCTCAGTGGAACACGCCTCCTTAGCCAACCAGGGGCTGATTGATCACAGGTTAACCCCTTGCTTTTTGCCGCTGGTTTTTGTAGGGCAAATTCGTGAGTCGCCCGGGTTTTTGCAGTGCAAACTAGTGAGTCGCCCGGTTTTTGCACGGCCATGTAGTGAGGCCCCCATGTCCCTCGCAGGACTATGGTCTCCGCTCAGTTGATAGCTACTGAAAAGCATGCAGGGATTTGGAAGCGCTTGTGGTGATACGTTGAGCTGGAATGAACAACTAAAGAGGAAGCGGTCCGAACAAAACGAGGAAGCCGCAAAGTGGCACATTTGCACGGTTTCATGTGGGCCGGACAGGATAGGCCAGGTTGTGATGCCATTTTATCATCAGGAAACAGGCTAACAGCACCTCGCCCGCAGCACCTAAGGTTCCTCAGTTCGCGTCTTTGTGCGCCGGGCAGCGCTTGTCTCATCGCCATCAAAACCTCACCGGGGGATCTCCTTTGGGACTTAGTATCAAGACGTCTGGAGCGAGATCCCCAAATGGGTGTGTCTTGTGTTGGGGGACCCCCCGAACCCTTGAATACTACAAAAAAGGGGTATCTTCACAAAACACAACGCCAAATTTAAGTCATGCAGGTTATTCGCACAGCAGGCTTCGCATTCAGGATTCTATTGCCCTTGTAAAAAGCGGCGTGTTGTTTCCATGCTAAAGATTTGCTCTGTGTGTACCAGATCCTAAGCCAAGAGTTCTGGCTATCAGATGCATCCGTAAAGCGAGCCTTTGCCACCAGAAGGGTCGAACTAAGGCGGCCCTTTTGATTGCCACCTCTGGCATTTAGAACGTGGCAAAATTCATACGGCCATGGGTCAAAGTCAATGGGATCCCATTTTGGGGTAGGTGAATTCACCACCCATAGAACCTATTTTAGTGGTTGGATTGAATCGGATGTTCACTGGGGGCCAACCGATTTGGATTTTGAGCTGCAGCCATATGGCCAGGTACGTGGGCGACCTGCACCCGGATGTCACAGAGGCCCAAAGATCTGGCAAGCGAAAAAAGAACTCTGTGACTCCCTCAGCTCTGTTTGGGACTTTCTCCTTTTGGGATTTGGACCGTTTTAGTGTTGCAAGCAAACAAACATGGGTTGCCTTTTTTGGCCAATCCATTCAGGAAGTAGTGATAAGCAATAACAACTGGTTGCCTTTTTCGGCCAATCCATTCAAGGAAGTGGGAATCGGAGGGGAAGCCTGCAAACATGACAATAGCATCTCCAGTGAGAGCTTTCAGTTCATTTGAGCCACAACATCTCGACAGTCAAGAAGTTGGCTCCTGCCTTGATTGGTTCAGATCTGGATGAGCTGTCCAAGCAAACGAAACAGCTCCAGTTGGTCAGCGGTCAGAGCTGTCAGCGAGCTGGCCAGCCACGCCAAAGCAAAACGGGCGGTTTGCAGCCAAGCGGCCGCAAGGAAGAAGCCCGGTGTTCACAGGGCATGTAGACCAGATGTACATTTTTTGTTGGGCGTTAGGCCCAACGCCCCGGCAGCAAACACATTCCATGGTGCCATGCATATCTTGGCTCTGCCGCATTTGGCTCTGAATTTTCATGGGATCCTCAAAAGCCGTTGGTGGACATGAACCCATTTCGGTGGTGCTTTCAAGAGGAGAACCAAGAGGAGAACCATGCTGAATTCTGGAGTCCGGGACCCATAAAGATCCCAGCGCACCCATTTGGTTTGTCTCAACATAGGGGGAGATCCAAAATAGGTGGTTGCCTTTTGGCTTCCCTTTACACTACTACTATACTTGCAACAATGCCCTCAAAGTTTCAGCACGGCATGAAGCTACCAGCAGCAAATCGAAGTGTTTCTTTTCCCTCTTAAGCCGCCCCTCCCCCCAAAATAAAGCACCATCATTTGTTGGGAGTATAGTGGCCTCCAACAAACATATTTTGTTGCAAGCAAAGTGCCCTCTCAAACCAACCCCCGTTTTTTGTTTTTTTTTCTTCTTCTTCTTCTTTTTTCTACTTTCTTTTACCTCTCTTTTTTGTTCTCCTCTTATTGTTTTTGTTTAAGAAGTAAAACAGGTGAGGTGAAGTACCCTTAAACCAACCCATTCCGCGCTCGCCGCCCGCTTCTCGGCAGGCGATGCTCTACGAGATCTTCAACTCCGTGGGGCCCGTGGCGTCGATCCGCGTGTGCCGCGACAGCGTCTCCCGCAAGCCGCTGGGCCGAAGAAGCCGTGGCCGTTTTTTTTTTTTTAAACATCTGAGCCACATCGGGGATCTGGGGATGGGGGGGGGGCAGGGAGTAAAAAGAAAGAATCTGGATGTGGCTCAAGTGAATGTACCAAATGGCACCTTGGTAAATGGAACCAAAGACTAAAAAACCTGCGTATCCCCAGCGCTTCAATTTTGGGCCACACCCATCTGAGCCACGTCGGGGATCTGGGGATGGGGGGGGAGGGCAGGATTTTTGACTCTCTGGGAGATTGATTTTTTGACCTGAAAGGAAGGTGAGCCACTTGCTCAAAACCGATTCGGGTAGGTGAAGGTTATTAAGGGGCAGTCCCAGCCAGAAATAGTTGCGGATATCCGCCTTCTTAATTCATGAAGCATGGTTCTGGGTAGACCACTTTAATGCCGGGTTTTGATTGTGACTCATCTGGTGTCGGTCGGAAGAATGCCAGATCTAATTCCAGGTAAAGAGATGCACCCTTGGACAGTTCGAGATCCTAGACGCATTTCCGAAAAGTTCTATCACTCACCGAGTAGTCCTCAATTTGTTAGTTCTTAAGATCTGGAAAACCGTGCGGAATGGGATTCAGCCATGTCTCTTCATGCATCTACAACTATTCGATGGACATGTCCAACGTAGGAATCCACTCCCCAAGGAAACCGTGCCAATGCTATATACAAGAAAGGCATTCTGTCGGCCCTTCTTGGCCGATGCATTACATAATTCAGCCAAAAGAAGAGTTTTCCGCATTTGTCACTTGCGTTTGAAGTGACCAATGCAATGTAGCTCTAAGTTCACTCTCATTTAGCATGTCCTTTCCTTGGCTGTCAAAGTCGGCTTTTCCTACTGGCCGAACAAGTTGCCGGTTTTGACTCAAGTGTTGGTCTGACATGTCAAGTTTTGGGCCAAGACGTCCGGTTTGGACCTGAAAGAGGATCGACTTTCTCCGGAGAAGTGGCCAGCAATTCATTGGAATTTTCATGGGACTGACGCACCTGAGGGCAAGTTGGCTTCGGGGCACGTTCCAGTCCTTGATTGTTCATGGCGCGAAGAACATTGTTTCAGGGTGTTTGTTTTGAAATTCCATGATGTTGTTTTCCGTTTAAGCAGAACACAAGAAGCATCAGGACGTCACTGAAGCATCTATGCAAGGACTTCGTTCATTTGCCCTTTCAAGGACGTACCAGAAGTACCGCTGAAAAATTCGTGTTCGACCAAAAGCATGCTCATAGCTTCATGGACGTCTGCCCTTCTTTCTTTTGATTCATGTTTTTTTTTCTTCTTCGGCAATGGAAAACCAGAAGGCTCTGTTGCCTGGTTGAAGAGCTGGCTCTGCTTTGGGCTAAGGTCTTTGGGCTATGGCCGCTTGGTCTGAAGTGGGACGTGGGCTTGAGAACTCGTCAGCGTGCATTCCCCACAATGTTTTAGGACCTTGTGAGCCTCGCGCCAAGGGAAGCATGTAGCAAAGGGCTGAGGGTAACAAATCAAAGCAATGGAATTATCTTCGGCGGCACTATGCGAGTCGCTGATTATTTTTAGTCTTTCTTGGCAGCCTGCTGCTGGTGGGACTTGGGAAGTGTCCTTCGAATTAGATCCCGCTCCTCGATGTCGCCCGACCTTTCAGCGTAGTGACGGTTCGAGAAGTTACTTTGGCCGGGCGAGGAAATGGTTGGCGATTTGCTTGAACAGGCCTCAAATGGCGTTTGTTGATTGCTTGTGCTTGCAGTGTTTTGCTTCTATCAGTTGATTGGACACCTGTGTGTAACAGTTTGCATTACCTGCTTTACCTGCTGTACCTGCTGTATCTGCATTCGGGATCGACTGAACTTACAAGATGCCCGTTTGCAAGTAGTACTGAGCAACAGGTCGGTAATTTTTAGATTTTGCAGGTCGACCAGCCCAGGATACGTGAACTTTCACAGTGTCTCTGACGCCGAGCGTGCCTTGGACACCCTGAACTACTCGAGCATCAAGGCCCGCCCCAGCCTCGTGAGACCCTTTTCTTGCTGGTGCGATAGGCAGGGAATGAGAAATGGAATGACCCCGAAATAATGCCTTTAAGGGGACCCTTAGGTTCATTCTCACATTCCCTACTGAGTACCAGCAAGATTTACATGATCCCATCCAAGCATGAACAGGACTTGGTAACACAGAGTGAGACGATGCCTCCCGTTCCCTTCATGCCATGTGAAGCGATTGCAGTTTCGCTGAAACAACTTTCGGTCAGGGGCGTGCTTGCCGCATTATGTGGAGCCAGCGCGATCCCAGCCTCCGCAAGAGTGCCTCGGATGAGTTGTGGCCTTTGGGGGATCTGGAAGCAAGGACGCCTTTGACTAAGGACAAGGACGTTTGTAGGAATCCGCTTTTGTTGGAATGCTTGCAAGCTACAATGCATAACCCGAGCTTGCGAAGTTTCGTGTCAAAGTAAATGACCCCCCCCCCCCCACAAAGGGTGTTAAGAGGAGCAAATGCCACGAAAGGACGGGTCAAACTCACCGGTTTTGATCTGTGCAGCGATTGGGGATCTTTTGAGACTCAAATGTTCTGTCCATTCCAGCAAGACAATGCTAGATTCACCATTTCTTGTTGGATGTCACGGATTCTCCTCAGCTCGTGTCGCAGATGTCGAAGCAGGCATCTTGCAGCTGGGCAAACGAGAAGCGACCTTGCCAGAGTGGACAGTGTTTACGCTTTCATGCTCGGTTGTCATGGGGCCAAGTGGCATGAGAGACTTTGGGGCCATTTTGGCTCAAGACCACTGTGTGCTCGGGTTCACCCTCTTGTGTGGTCTGTGTCTTGCCCAGCCTCCCTGCCCTTGAGGTGTTGAGAGAGGTCCCTCGAGAGGCCAAATCAGGAGGTCACGGATGGCCACGCCCGTCTCGCCCTTCATCGGCATGTCCCAGCCTCCGAGGTGGATCGCATGAATGCACCACCAAGTGCCAGGGTTGCTCCTTGTCCACATGGCGTCCCATGTAGCCGCGAAGGCGCGCCTTCGCAGCTTCCATTTCCTGATTTGAGCGAAGGTCCCAATTGCGCTGTCCAACCGGCTGCACGTCAGGACCGTTGAGTTCTCATTGAGCCCGTGCTTCCCCGCCTCCATCTTCACGAATTTCCGCCTGTGGCCAGCGGCCTGGGGTGACAGAAGTGAAATGCGGGCGGCCTGGCGAAGTTTGGCATAAGTCCGAGACAAAGTTCAAGGGCTCAGGCCACACGCTGGGTGTCTTGAAGAAGGTCCTCTGCCGCAGTGTCTTTTCATCGGGTCCACAATTGGACTTGAACAAGGTTGTGGCATCACATCCTAAGGCTGGGGAGATCAAAGCGCCACGCACATCAACTCCGAAAAGCAGTGGAAGACGATCCTGATGATCTGGCGGGCGTCCTTCAAATCTCTGGAGACCATCAAGCTTCCTAAGATGGACATGGATTTTTACGCCCTCCTCTTTGGAGAAGATGTGATGGGGTGGGAGCCTCCTCCCCGTCTAGGGGTCAGAATGACACTATGTCCATTGCGACGGCTCCGGCCAGGACACTTCTCCTGGACGAGGGAAGTCTATGAGTCCGCCGCTGGCAAAGCGCCACATGGCCCAACTCAAAACGCAAGAGCCGGACTGGTGCCACGGTGCGCAAAGGCAACTCCTGGGAAAAGACCTCCAACTCTGAGGGCAGCAAAGGTGGGAGGACCTTGCAGAAGCTGCGCCTCTTGAGGGTTCTCGTCAGGGAAGGGCCGTTCCAAGGGTGCCTTGAAGTCCACATGACATGGGCTGGGCTGATGTCTTTTGCCCGGAGAATTGCTCAAGGCATCATTGTGCCCAGTGTTGCTCGTGCGAGAAGAACCGCCGGGCGGGACGAATCTGGCCCTCGTGAGGACTCGATTTGTTGTGCCTTACCTCAAGGGCTTCCAGGATTTTGCCAACAGACTCGGGTACTTGAGTAACAAGAGTGAGTGTCGATTGTGCCCACGGCACTGTGACTACCACCTGGCAGGATCCAATTTGTCAGGCCAGGTACTTTGATTTTTGCATCTAGGAACTTTCATCCAACATATTATATCTTAGGCAAGGTCAAAGGGTTTGATGCTTCGACATCTTGGTATCCAAGTGGCTTGCGCTGTTGACGACTAGACGGCTGATCCTTTTTTAGACGAGTGTTCTGTAGTGGCACGCTTTTGGTGGGATGCTACCAAACTCATCCCCACGCGCAGACTTTCAATGCAATATTGGAGGTTCAGGAGAAGCTTTGGGATCCCCTATGCCAATGCAGTTGCCACTAAAGTTCGACGTCTTGCTTTCCAAGGCGGTCTGGGCAACGTCTTTGCCCAGCACTCAGACAAGCCGCGGCGGTGTAGCCTGGGTTGATTCTGGAGGAGCTCTGGTTTGGCCCACGACAAGTCAAGCAATCCACCGAGCCACGCAATGAGCGCTGCCCATCTTGCGAGCTCCGTTTTTTGGAGTGAGCTCACAGTGGTCCGTGGCTTGGGATCGCTTGTCCCGGGCTTTGGGCCTGCAAGAGATGCTTATTGCTTTCACTTCCAAGAGGCAATGAGTTGATCCAAGTCTTTACCGAAATTTCCCGACTTGAATGGAGCATGCTGGCCAAGCTCAGCTGAACCTAAGCCGCCGATGTCACAGTCATCGTGTTGGGGGGTTAGCGAACAGAAACCTTCATGGGGCGGCAGTCAAACCAACCCATGAAGTTCAGCTTTACTGAGCTGTAGTTGACCCTTCTCTTATGCGACCCAATGAAGAAGCGCGAGCGGTGGGCTATTGGTGAATCATCCAAAAATCAACTTGTTCATTTGCAGCTTGGGCAAACCTGCGCCAAGCAAACTTGCGTTCGAGCTAGGCGTGATATCCATTGACTAGAGTTGCACGCAGGTCTACATCACGAGGGTTTCTCAAAATGGTGGAATCTCTCTTGGTTGGTCTTCCAAGGGAAACCAAAAGGACACCGCGCTTTTGTGGTCCCCTATTTCGCGAGAGCCTCATGTATCAGCTATTTGGGCTGCTTGTATTGCGCTCGACACGTTTGACGCCGCTGATCTCTTGCGTTGGACACGGTGAAGTTCTGTATCTCCGAGGTTCGGAACCTTGACCGGAACATCGACAACAAGGCCCTCTACGACACCTTCAGCCTGTTCGGGAACATCCTCTCATGCAAGGCGCGAGTTTCGTCCGAGTCTCATGAGGATTGTAAGTGTATGATATATGTGTTGATATATCACGCATGCTAATATTCAGAAACAGGCTCTTTGCCACTCTTTTCAGGAGTTTTTTCACCAATCTGCTTCCGGGTGGTGCAGTTGGAGCAGTAACTTGAGCTGAAGTTGGTTGAGGTGTAGTTGGAACATGACAATGAGGTCAGTGGCTAGCATGTGACAGGGGAATCAGGGCATGAGTTTGGCCGGCCAGAAACGAGACACATCCATTGTGGTCCTGGTGACTGTTCAAAGAGGACAACATGTCGGGCAATGAGGGCAGGAACTGTTGTTTTATCATTGTGATCTTCCATATGCAAGAGGGAGGGGCAGAGAGAGAGAGAGAGAGAGAGAGACAGTGTTTGTGCATGCGAGCTTTGCTTGCGTGCTGTTTGTGCGCAACCCCTAACATTAGCAGCTCTATATCCATGGCCAGCATTGCCATGTGAATTACCAACATCGCTGCCATTGCAGTTTGCATGGTCTGCAACTTGCTGCTCCTGAGTCTATTGCCGGTGCCTTTGCTATTCGAGTTGAACGGATCATAGAAGAGGACACCTTGAAGAATATCGGTTTGAAAGACTGCCTTGCTTGCTCCGTGTGCATTAGTAACGATTGAATGCTTTGAGCTGGTTTCTGCTTGAGACCATGTGCATACGTTCTCAATTGTGCAAACGTGCCCAAAGAAGCCATCGGAATGAAACATATAAAATTTGTTTTTTTGCCCGCTCCCTCGATCTGACTTTCGGCGCTCCCCTTTCCCGGAGAGGTCTCGACCGGACCGGACGGCAAGTCCCGCGGATACGGCTTCGTGCCCGCCTGAGATGGGATGAGATGCATCCGGCCATGTGCCGGCGGTTCCTTTGAGAATGGCACATCTTACTTGGACAAGGAATAGCCAGCTCACGCCAAGGGAGGGCAGGGGGGGTTGGGGGGGGGGGGTTGGGTTGAAACGAGCTCACCCAAGAAGAAGGCGCCTTACGGGTCTCCCTTATGTCGGGTTTGTGTCGCTGGATCAATGCGAAACAAATGGTCTCTATGTGCCAACACAAGAAGTTCGCCTATAACTTCGATGATGTTCCTGAAATCTTCCGATGATTCGCAAAGTTGTCGGCTTAGTCCGACATGCCAGCTCTTATCCAAAGCATTGCGCAGCATGCAGAATTCGCCACTCCTCCCGCAAAACGAAAACGGCAGGTTCTGCAAAAAGATTGGACGCCCCCTCTCAAGATCCAAGAGTTTCTTTTGGTTTCCCTAGGTGTCCCTTTGGCGTTTTTTTCTTCAACCCTGGTCTCTCTGAGTTCTTTTTTCAGGCTGCGCTTGGTTCGACGCACGAGCAGGGATCGATCGCTCTCAGGTCCATTATGAGACCGAGGAGGCGGCCAAGCAGGCGGCTGAGCGGCTTTTTGCTGGGGGATGGCGGGGAAACATCTCCTTTCTTGGTGGCTCAAGAGGCAATTTTAGCTTTTTAGGTGGTTTGGTGGTTCGGATTTCCAACTAACCCACTAAAAGTTAAAAGCTTTTAGCAGCAGTTTAGAGAACCACCCAATTTCTTTTGGAGTCCTTCAAGGAAGAACCAGACATATCAAGATTCAAATTGCAGTACCCGGTGGTCTCCCACCATCTGCTTGGGGATAAAATAGGGGTCCATTTTACCTATTGGCGCCGGTTTCCTTTTTGGCTATTTTTGAAATACCAACCACCAATGAGGATCCAGGATAAATAAAGCCGTCCGATTAATAGGGGGTGTTCCTCTCCAAAAGTGGGTTGAACACAAAAACGGGAATGAAGTTCCTCCCCCCTTCCACCCCCCCCACCTTCCTCCACCTTCCCCCACCTTCCCCCACCTTCTCCCACCTTCCCAAAACCTTCCCCCACCTTCCCCCACCTTGCCCCACCTTCCCAAAACCTTCCCCTTCCTTCCCCTTCCTTCCCCTTCCTTCCCCTTCCTTCCCCTTCCTTCCCCTTCCTTCCCCTTCCTTCCCCTTCCTTCCCCTTCCTTCCCCTTCCCCCACCTTCCCCCACCTTGCCCCACCTTCCCCCACCTTCTCCCACCTTCCCCCACCTTCCCCCACCTTTCCCCACCTTTCCCCACCTTCCCCCACCTTCCCCCACCTTCCCCCACCTTCCCCCACCTGCCCCCTCATTCCCCCACCTTCCCGCACCCCAACCGGCCTCCAGCTCGAGTCTGTGTTTCATGTCTTGAGATGAAGCTGCCAGATGAACTCGCGCATACCAGCCAAATCCACAAATGCGCCACTTAAAAACGGATGAAACCTATCCGAATCCCCGAATCGCCACTAAAACGGGACAACCTGGGGCTCTACTTAGATCCTGAGTTCCCATACGAGGGTCCATGCGACTCGGCCAGGCGATCGAGAAGGTGGATGGCATGCAGATTGGCGAGAAGACGGCGCGCAGCCCGAGACGTTGGCTCCTTTTTGAAGCGGACCGGTTTCTTTTTTCTTTTTCTTTTTTTTGGCCGTTTGGCAACGGATCTTTGGACTTCTAACTTTTCGGTTGACGCTTCGGTCGGATTTTCCGAATTCGACCCAGAGAAAGTTAAGTTTTTTTTGCGGAGGGGTCAACAGCAACCAAGTCTTGTTTCCCTTTACCATCGGTTTTTCTTCTTTCTTTGATTCTTTGTTTTTGGGGGTAGCTGGTCGCCCCTGGTTTTGATGCGCAAATCCAAGAGCTTGTTCCAAGCATCTAAATGTGTCCAATCCCCCGAGATAAAGCTAGGTGCTTTTTTGTTTCTGTCCCCAACTTCTTATTTTTGCACAAACTCGCTTTTCTCCGTCCCCCGAGTTTTTTTTCTTCTTCCCCCTTTTCTGTTAGGTGGGCGTGAGCGGCTTCATCAAGCGTGCAGAACGCTGCGGCCTCGGAAATTCTTTCAAGAGCCACGTCGACGTTACGCGCGCCGCGGGGAGGGGGGCACCCGGGCCTTTCGGTTGGATGGGTTTTTGTGGCTGATCGCCAGCCACGAAGCTTGGCTGGAGATCCTCAGCGATGGCATGGGCCTTTCAAAATCCCAAATTCCGTACCTCTAGTGAACATCCGATTCAATCCAACCACTAAGATACATTCTAACATGGGTGGTTCATTCACCTGCCCCAAAATGGGATGCCATTGGTTTTGACAACCACAGCCATTTCTGGCAACTCCCTCACCTTCCAAGATCGTCTTGCCATTCAGATGTCTGGCGGGAAGAAACCCAGAGCGAGCACCGGGCTGCTTTTGGGCACCTTCAGCTAGGCCGCCGAAGCTACAGGCAGTGCATGCCCTGCGATTCCCGCTGTGTGTTTTTTCCGGGGGACCTGAGAGAAATGGGCTGCGCCCCTCGATTTTCCAACCCGCAACAAGGGTACCCGCACACAAGTGCACGCCCATGTTTGCAGCACTCGCCATCAGGCAGGTTTCTTGCAGCACAGCCTCACGGCCGGTGCTGCGCATGAGTCGAACACATCAACCGGTCCGGGTGAAAGGACGGATGAGGCCACTGACCCAAGGATTACTCGACTCAGTGGTTGTTCCTTTGGCAGGATTGTGACTCCTGAACCTAATTCCAGCGATGGCGACTTGCCTTCTGTGTGGGGGGGTGGGGGGGGGGCGAGAACAAGAGGGTGTTTGTCAGCATCCGAGAGCTTCAAGATGTTTCGATTTTGTTCTTTAGGTTCTCTTCATTTTTACTGGGCTGCAAACAAACTCAAGTTTTTGCAAGCCCACACCAAGGGTTGCGACGGATGGGTCTCTTCCCTAGGCTTGCTTCGCACATCCGAACTCGGGTTCCTGGCGCCAAGTCGGCCCGTGGATTCCTGGAAGGTGAGAAGCCGGCCATGAACACCTTTACCAACGCCCGGGCCTCGCAAAAAACCTTTTTCACCTGTCTGGGAAATGGCCATGTGAACATCCCCACCGCCACACTAAAACAGGCTCTAAAATGGGTGGTGCAAAGTCAATGGTACCATTTTGTGTGTGTGTGTGTGTCAAAAAGAGACAACTCGAAGCATGGTGGGCGCTCTCCCCCTTTCGTTTTATGGGTCAAAATCTAAATCGTACGCCCCAGTGAACATCCCCACTGCCCCACTGAAATAGGTTGTAAATGGGTGGTGCACCTAGCCCAAAATGGGATACTATTGGTGTTGACTCACGGCCATATACCTTTCACCTTTCTGTTTCGAGTTTTCTCTTTTTGACACACACACACACACACACATACAGAGCATAAAGAATGAACGGGAGAGCGCGGGAACCATGTTTCGGGGTTCCCCTTTTTGAGACACAGCTTCTTTTTTTTCCCCCCCTTTTTTCTTCTTCTTTTCTGGTCTTGTTTTTTTGTTTTCCCAGAAATCCAAGAGCGCTTAAGGGGCCGAAGAGTTTGCCGCTTGACTTTGTTGACTGCCTCCCAGCTGAGCGGCTTCGTGTTCTAGTCTGAACCTTGGAAGCTCTCGGGAGGTGTGTACGAGGAACCTCCAAAATCGTTTGTAAGTGGTTCGCTTTGGTTTCCATTTAGGACACCCCCCAAAAGAGTAGCCTGAAAATGACACACCCATGTGTTTATACATACATATATATATATATATAGGTATACATTTTTTTCCGGTAGTTCGAAACTCCTGCCCCCAGTGCTTGTTTGGCGGGACGGAGGACATTTCGGCTGGCCTCTCGGGGCCCCGGCCCGTCTTCACTTGAAAAGCTCATCGAAAGGCATGCAGCTGTGGTTGTCAAAAGTAGGCACCCAACATGAAACCCTGGTAAATGGAAACATAGACTAAAACTTGCGGTCCGATTCCCGGTGGTGACTCATTTTGACCCATACCCATGTGAGCCACGTGCTCAAAACCGATTCGGGTAGATGAAGGTTAGCAAGGGACAATCCCAACATAAATAGCTGCGGATCTCCGCCTTCTGAATTCTTGAAGCATGGCGCTGGGTCGACCAAGGCAATACCGGGTTTTGATTGTGACTCATGTCTCGACCATTGAAGGGGGGCGCCATCCATTGGAATGAATCCATCTCATGAGTGGCCCCGCGGGCGAATGGCGGAAACCTGCAAAAAGTGGCCGACCTTGGATCGTTTTTTTTCTTCTTCTTCTTTCTTCCTGTGGTTGATGGACGAAACCATTGCGCACCACTAAGAAACCCTGGGATGATTCGATTCCCCAACATAACAAAAGTACCAACCAATAATATTGTTCCCCGTGGCTTCGTGGCGCGAAATGGATTTCGTCCAAAAGGCGAGGTCAAAGGATACCCCACCATTCTGGGGCTCCCTGATCCTTGAGACAACCCCCAGCACCCGCTGCCTTTCTGAGATCTACATCAAGAACTTCCCGAACCACTGGGAGGAGGACGTGTGGGAAGCGGAAAAGGGAACCCTGGAGCTAACCCTGCCGATTCGCTTTAAAAGAGTGATCCTCGCTCCTGGATATGCCTTGCGCTGAGCGTTGCTTGTTGAAAGAACCTTCAAAGTTACGGAGCTCTTACCAGAAGGTAGTGACTTTGGGTGGAGGACGCGAGGGAGCAACAAAAACTTGGGCGGTCCTGGGAAACGGCCCTCGTGCGTTTTTTTTTTTTTTTTTTTTTTTCAACTTGCTGGTTCTCAGCTGGTTCGACGCGCCAGGATTCGATCAAGACAGAGTTCGGAAAGTGCGGCAACGCCCGGCGCCCAAGCGGGGCCGTATCATAGGTGTCCTTGTTGGTTGTTTTGCTCGAAAAATAGATGGCCATGGTTTACCTGGTGGTTTAATCAGGGCCATCTATTTCCCCTAAAAGGACACCTATGGGCAGTAAACCTTCCAATAGTTTCTCTCTAAAACAAACGCTCCAGCCGCAGCGTAGTTGAATTGCCCAACTGCCGAAATAAGTTGTGGGCTGAACGACCCCCTTATAGATGATTTTCCACCCTGAAAGGGACAAGGCACGCTTTGGTGGGCGAAAACCTAACGCCTGGTTCTCAGATTCAGCAAATGCACGAAGCATCTTTGTGACCCTCAACAGTTGCCAAAAGATTTGCCCTCTTGTGGGCACCTCCAAACTTAGATCAGGAAGGGCCCGGTTTTCCCTTAAAAGGGGGCAGCTCTTGGCGCCTCGGTTGTAGGCAGATCCTGCCCTATTCTCCCCCCCCCTCCTCCCCCCGCAAATTCTTCCGAGCCTTGACTCAGCTCCATTGTACCATTTGTTTTCCCGAGTTTTTTGGCGTGGCAGTTGCTTGCCTTCCGGGCGGAGCCCGGTGTATGCAATTCCGGAATCGCGGACATGGTGCAAGAATGAATATGGAAACATGGCGTCCCAGAGCCTGGCTGCAGGCTCCGTTGGCGCCACAATTGAAGTCCCGACTGTGAACGCGCGGATAGATCAGTGGAACCGAAACTCGTTTCGGAGAACGTGGTTTCAACATTTCTCTTTTTGGGCCGAGTTTGAAGCTGGCGGTCTAAGCGCAGAGTCTCAGCTTTGCACCATGAGTTCATCTTTCAGCTTTCAGTTCGTCGCCTGCCGAGATCACTTCCTCTCACATGAGCACGGACAACAAGGCGGGTATGTCTTCAGACCGACTTTGCTTCCGCTGAGCCCCCAAGCGTCCTGCTGTAAAGCCCTAAATTGCATCAGTGGGGTGTCAAATGGGTGTGGCTCAAAATTCAAGAGCAGCGTTTACGCAGGATTTAGTCTTTGATTCTACTTACCAAGGTGCCATTCATGTCTTTGAGCCTCTGCCTTAAATGGCCAAGTTCCATGCGGGACTTAGGACTTCAACATTTTGCCAAGTAATGGGTTTTCTGTATTAAACCACTGAAAGTTATTCACTTTTAGCAGGGGAGCAGATTTCGCAACCGAGTAAAGCTTCGCGCAAGTTGGAGCGATGAAAAGGCGCAGCAAAGGCGCCTCCCATTTTGTCGAGATTCCCCCTGTTTTTAGAGGCAAGGCTTTTGGGAATTACGGGTTGGTTCCCACTGTGATGCCCCCTACTCTGCTTCGGATCGGTTCAGGGCCGGAAGTTCGCCTTCTTGAACTTCGGGTCGCACGAGGAGGCGAAGCAGGCGCGGCCGGGCTGGGAGGCTGGGGGGGGGCGTGAGGCGGGCTGCTTCAGTGTCCTTTTTGGTGGTTTTGGTAGGAACAATAAAGGGCGAGTCCTGGTTTACCGGGTGGTTTCATCATCTACCAGGGATATCCATCTACTTCCCCTAAAAGGATACCTATGGCTCCGAGCTGGTTTGTAGAACAAACAAATCGAACGGCTGTCGGTGTTTCTCTCCGAAAAACGCCTCAAACGTCGGTGGACGTGGAATTCCCATGTCCATCAAGTCCAACAACGGGACAAACCATCCAAAGTCATACCCAAGCCACAGGGTCAGACGCAACCGGCCCCTTTGGGCGGAGATCCCGGAACGCTTCAATGCGGAACGGTTTTCCCCTATGGTTGCACAGGAGATTTCGTTCCTCCGACGGGGTCGAATGGGAGGAACAGAGGTGGAGGCTCCTTCGCTTTGTGTGCAAACCCGAGGCCCCGTGCATGTCGCTCCCCGCGAAACGTGCAACGATGGGATCCCCGGATTTCAGGGCTTGTTGAGGGTACCCATTCTGAGGTTGGTGTAATGTTGACCCCAATTGAATCAACCCCAGTTTAGGCAATTCGGAGGGGTGTTCGACACCCCCCCATGAATCACCTGGGGTTGAAAACAAAAGATGGGGTCCACATGACAAAAAATGAAGAAACCACAAAGAAGAAAGCCACCACTTTGGAGGTCCCCCGACTTTGACACATCCCCTCATGGTTGTTGTTGGGAAACCATTTACATTGTTGCTTTTTGTGGTTTGGTGGCTGAAATCCAAATCCACAACACCGCTCAGATTTTCAAATGTTTTTGCTCCCCTTCCAACGTCCACCGATTCCCACGCGCCCTCGCCCTCGCGAAAAAAAATGCTCCCGAATGCTCCGACTGGCCGCAGGCCATCGACACCCTGCACCAGAAGGACTTCCGCGAGGCGGAGCAAAAGGAGGCGGACAAGGCTTGCGCTCGGCGACGGGGGCGAGGGATGGAACGTTTCCACCAAACCCCGTTGCCACCGGGTAAAGACAAGTGATGGCTCTTGGGAAAACCAGGTCATGAAATGAGCTTTTTTTTTTGGGAGGGGGGTTTCACGTGACAACATGAGTTTTATTTTTTTTTGTGTGTAATACAATGATTTCTTTTTTGGGGTTCCAGGTAAAATGATGGTTTTTGGGTGGATCTGTGTAAGAAATTTCCACTCTCTGGAATGAGCTCAGGGCTAAAACGAACTCATGATGGATAGAACAAGTCTAGTGGTTCAAACATTTCTGGCAATCTGTGCTCCGCGGTTTAGCGGAACATGGCTTGACATGGTATGTTTTCCCAGGTCCAGTTCGGCTTCAGCCACTCCCATTCGTTCTTTTGGGGCCGTGTGAGGAGAAAGAGGAAGAGGAGGCGGACCGAGCCGAGAAGAGCTGCTTGGACAGGGGAACAGAGAGATGCGTCATCCCCTTTCTGTCTACATGGGGGTTGATCAACAATCCCTTCGGCCACCAAATGACCATGCGTGTGGGAAGTATCTTTGTTTTGGCGGTTTTCCCCGATGGTCATCCCATGTTCATCCGAGGTCCCCAATCATGCTGGCTGCAACAAAGCAGAAAGACAGCAACCATGAACTGGAGCGGCCAAAGAATGTTGCGGCAGACATAAGGAGCCCTTGCACGAAAAGGGCTTAGACAAATTTTATCTTGCCAACTGGTCGATTGTTGCTGCCCGCCACGTTTTTGGCCAAGCCACAAGGCCCGTACTGAGTTAAGAGTTACTGGTCGTAGGGGCCGCGTGGTATCAAAACTGGCGACCACTTCGAGTATCGGTCTCAGGTTCCTTTCATTTGTCGCCGATTCCCATCCTTGTGGGGTTTGCGGGTGTCTGGTCAAGGAACTGGCCATCATCGGGGAAAAGGGGCGTGGACACCAGAAGGAGGTCCAACACCCTGTCGAGGCTCTCACTTTGCCCGGTCATTCATCGCATGGTTCTCTTCGCCGTGCTGCTGAGTGTGCTCAGAAACGGAACGAAGCGTGCAGGGTCAGAGGCTGGCTGAAAATGGCCAAGATGGCGAGACACGTCGCTTGAGCCGCGGTTCTGCTCCTGCCAATCCAGCACCGCCGCTGTCAACATGTTTCTGGACAGGATGTTGTCCTTCTTCCTAGCAAGATTGGGGGGGGGGGGGTGAAGGGTTGAAAAAGCAGGCTTGGACGGTGAAAGACAAATGAGCCACAATCAAACCCGATCCGGGTAGATGAAGGTTAAGGGACAATCCCCTTGCCAGAAAAATAGCCGCGGATCTCCGCCTTAATTCTTTGCAGTGGACCATTTTGATACCGGGCCCCGGGAGCCTTCCTTGGGGTTGCTTGGCTCGCCCGGGTGGGACCCTTGAGGGTCGCCTGGGTCGCCTGGGTCGCCTCGGTCTTCCCGAAAAAAAAGGAAGAAGAAGAACAAACAAAAAACGAGAAACAAAATGGAAAAAACAAGAGAGATAGAGGAGGAAAAAAAAGAAAAAACCCGCCGCTGAGGCTACCTGCTCTACGTGTCCCGCGCCCAATCCAAGTCCGAGCGCCTCTTGGAGCTGAAGGCGGGCGCCTTCCGCTTCTGGATCGGCGAGGGGTCGGCTCTTCGAGCCGACGGGGCGCCGTTTTTGGACTTCAGCCCCCCAAAGCCGGGCGGGTCTTGATTCTACACAGACTCTGCAGATAAACAAGAAACACCCATTTGTAGAGGCCGCTCCCTTCAAGAACCAGAACCCCTTTTTGGGTTTCAGGTTGGCGAGTGACTCCTGCCGCGTCCTCGGAACCCCCGCGCTTCCGCGCGGGGATTTTCGCCAGGAGAAGATGCCCCCCAGGGAGACGGGCCCCAAGTCCCAGGGCGTGAACTTGTACATCAAGAACCTCGCGCCTCGGATGTGAAAAAAAACGGAAAGAACAATACATATATATATATATATAAACACGGGAGAGGGGCGCTGCTCGTTTTTTTTCTTTTTCTTTTTTTCTCCCCCCAGTAAAACGCGGACCTAACAAACAATCCAAAATGGCGCTTAAGGTGGTTTTTGCTCTTGTTTTCGCGGTCGAAGCCACCCAAAAGAGGGGGCCCCCAAAAGAAGAGGAGAGACCCTCAAAGGGGAGCGAATCCATGAACGCCGATTCGGGTAAATGAAGGTGAAGAGACAATCCCGACCCTCATGTCCAGATGTTGATGATGACTCGTGGGAATTTTCGGAAAGGCGAGGGTTGAAACGCCCAGACCTCGGGGGAGGTTCTGAGAGGGGAGGGTTTGGGCTAGATTTTCGGACGGGGTTGAATGCTCATGAGCGCAAGGGTTCTTTGGTCAGGTTCGTGCCTTTGATTCTGGGCCCTGCAAAGGATTGAGAGCCTTGAGGTCAGGTGAGGAGCGTAGGTTTGCGCTCGCGGATGACTGGATCCTCCCTCAAACTGGCCGCACAAGACATGTCACAGTAGGTCGCAATGCATTGGCCCTTGCTGCAACCACTTCAGAAACTTGATTCGCTTTACGGGGTGGAATTGAACAAGGTAAACTAATTGGCCAAGCCCTATGGTAGGTTTGGGTTTATGATTTCACCATGGGGTTGATCAACAGGTCCTTGGCGAAATCGCCGGAAAGTGGCAGGATGAGAACACGGACGACGACTCCCTGCGCGGGCTCTTCGAGCCCTTTGGCAACATCACCTCCGTGTGCGCGATGAAGGCTGTCTGGATATTTCTGGTTTTGGTGTCGACAAACATCTCCTCTTGGCTTTTTGGGCTATGGGCTATGGGCTATGGTTCCCCTTTTCGAGGGTGACTTCTTGGTGGTTTTCAAGAGAAGCCACGTCTTTTTTGGGATCCCGCGAGAAAGAGAGACACCCAAATCGGGGTTTCTCTAAGTCGCGGTCCCCCAAAATGGTTGGGTTTGATTTGGGGTTCCTTTAACCATCGACCAAGAGGGGTCTACCATTTTGAGAACAAGCTTCTAATATCAGGCATCACTTCGTCTAATCCCCATCCACGCAGTGGCATTGCCATAACATGGGCATGTTTGTCTTGACTGCACCCTTCTGGGTTGGCTTTACAGGGAATCCAAAAGGAACGTTACAAACCGCTCAACGCAACCGTCGGTGTGCCACATCCTGAAGGGTAGCTTGGCTGGGTCGCTCATCGCAGTTGGCATGTGATCCCCTTCTCCCGCCTCGACGACCGACAGGGGATAGCATGCAAGTGCCACGAGTAGGCGTGTGACTCAGGGAAGGCTCGAGCGGGGACCAGCATTTGATACGTGGCTGTGGGTCAAAACCAAGGGATACCATTTTGGGGTAGGTGCACCACCATTTTGGAACCTATTTTAATAGGGACTGAATCGGATGTTCACTGGGGGTACGATTTGGATTTTGACCCATGGCCACATGAGTCCGGAAACAATACGTCCTTCAGCCGACTGTGAGATCGTTTGTCACAAGAGGCCGAGAAGGACGAGCCGACTCTTGCGCCCTTAGCCAGTAGTGCCCGACTGCCGAGCAACGGGTCATCACCGCTCCAGTTGTTCGAAGCTCGGACATTGCCGTGCTGACCAGGTGGGCGCTTGCTCAAAGCGCACAGCCGTTTCCCTGGCGATGGTTAGCACGGCGCAGGCCCTGGGATCTCAGCGACCTACTCCACGCAGAGCAAGAGGAGTTCACTATATAGGCAGAAGGGGCACTGCCTCGCACAGGGGCCTAGTAGCCAAATGGTTGTGGCTCAAAAAACCGGTACCAAAATGGCTTGCCCTGGTAAGTGGAAACATGGGCCAAAACCTGCGGTTTGCCCCTCCCGTTTAATTTTGAGCCACACCCAAATCCAAAGATGCAGCTTAGCATGCCAAGGCGCTGGCAGCCGATGAATAATTTGCTGACGAAAGTGCAACTAGGCCCGGAAGGAGATGCGACATCAGTGAGGCGCTGTATCCAGACTGAAAGCTGACCGTGGCAAGATGAGCGTTGGACATCGGGGGAGACTCCCAGAGCAGTGCCGCGTCGCTCGAAACGTGATGGCATCATATCAGCGCTCACGCGCATCGCTGACACCGCTGGAAAAAGCGTTCAAGGTCCAAAAGGCCCTTCTTACGGCGGAAAAGGCTGTGTCCAGTGTTGGCTTCAAGAAGCGCACTGGGTGAATTCAGAGGGTTGCCAACCCTCGGCAGCTGAAATGTCATGACGGGCGTGACCCATGACTGCCCCGCAGCGTTTGGTGGGGATGGTCATCAACCTAGGATGGTCATCAACTTGTTGGGGTTGTCCATCTATGTCCATTAAATCTGTTTGCTTGACCATAGCTGGCCAGCTCAATGGCACAGATAGTGACCTCGTGTAAACCCGGAGGACTGTACTAATCGGGCTCAATGGCCTTTAGCAAGCACATGATCTATGTTGGGGGACGGGGGGGGGGCAAGAGCTCCTTTGATGAGTAGGGTCCCCCGGTTTAATCCGAAGTTGCCACTCCCATTGAATCAGCACATTTTTGAGGCCCCCCCTGCGTGCCAGCCTTCGTGCGCAACACGCCCGTGCGACTTGCCAGGAGCCGAACGGCAAGTGCAAGGCGGGGCGTTGGGCCAATGCGGCCGAGGGATCTGGGAATTTGGAAAGGGGCGCCTTTCTGTTGGAGCCAGGGACTTTCTTAGGCTTCCTTCTGGATCAATGGTGCCAACAGTTTTTAGAAGCCCCAGTTTTAACCATGGGAAGCTTGTCCCATCTGAGAGTCGTATCTTGCTTGGTGGTTTCTTTGACCAAAGGGATTTCCCGCCTGGGGGGAATTCCCTATCTTAGTTTGAGACAAGCCCATATATTTCCTGAAGCTCCTGCTCCTTTCTAGTGATGGCTGGTCGATCTTTCCTTTGTGATGTTTGCATCTCAGATGCCCGACACTGGCAGATTGAAGCCTCATTCCATTCATTCCCCCAGCAGCTCTCGACGTGGAGGCTCACACGCACCCGAGGAAGTCATGCTTTTTGGGTGCTTGGCATCGCTGGATGGAGCCAAAAAACGCCGGGCAAGCCCAGTCCACCATGAGGAAGGATCACATGACCTCCACTTTTCTTTTTTTAATTTTTTCTCAGCTTGACTGGCAGGCTCGCAACTGCAACGTCCCATCGACGCCCAGTTTTCCACACTGGCGGTTCTTGGGTAGACGAAGGTTCTGGATAGTCCCCTTGCCATAAATGGTCCTGACCATTGTCATAGCGATCGGTTTTGATTTTGACCCCAAAACCATGCGCTACTTTTCCCATGTGGCTGTGGGTCAAAACCAATGGTACAATTTTGGGGTAGGTGCACCGCCCATTTTAGAACCTATTTTAGTGGGGATTGAATCGGATGTTCACTGGGGGTACGATTTGGATTTTGACCCATGGCCATGTGGTGATTTCGTCAAATCCTTTCTGGTGGCTTCCCTAATGGTCGCCCCAAAATGGCACAGGAGTTCTTCTTGGCAGCGGGTCACCTCTACGGCAACCCCATCACGTCTGCCTATTTTAGAGCGAGCTCGCCGATTGGGGGTATAACCAGCTCAAGCCATGATAAAGGTCCTTTACTAGGGGATCCCTAAATCCAGATTTTGGACATATATATGGCTGTGGCTCAAAATGAAAGAGTCAGGGCAAACCGCAGGTTTTGATCTTTCCATTTACCAAGAAGCCATTTTGGGGATTGGTTTTTTGAGCCACAGCCGATTGACCCATAGCCAACTGGAACATTTGTTGAGCCGGCCATTCAGATTTTGGACCTACAGTGGATGGACGAAATCCTGCACCACTTGGAAACCATGTTTGAAACCATTTGTTTGTTGGTATTGGCAGGGGAATCGAATCATTCTAGGACTTCTTAGGTGGTGCAAAATGGATTTCTTCCATACACAAACCCTAAGAAGTCCTAGAATGATTCGATTCCCCTGTCAATACCAACAAACAAATGGTTTCAACCGTGGCTTCAAAGTGGTGCGAAATGGATTTCGTCCATCCACAGTACTGCGAACAATGTGCAGATCACACGCAAAAGGGGCACCAGCCAGCCACCAGCCACCCGCCAGCTCGCACCAGGGCTTCGGCTTCGTGTGCTTCAGCTCCCCGGATGAGGCCACCAAGGCAGTCACCGAGATGCACCTCAAGGCGACTTCAAGTCTTCGCCTTTTTCATGGCTGTGGTGGTCAAAGCCGTTTTGGAATCCCATTTTGGTTGGGGATTGGTGAATATTCACCACCCATAGGACCTAGTTTAGTGGTTGGATTGAATCGGAGGTTCACTGGGGGCGAACCGATTTGGATTTTGAAAAGCCCACGGCCAAATGAGTCGAAAAAGCATTTGGAGATCAGAGTGGCCAATGGTCTCCCTTGGTTTCCGTTGGTTTCCTTTGGTTTTCCTACGGTTTCCTTTGGTGGTCTTTGGTTTTCCACCCGTTTCCCGTGGCTTTTGGGAGATTTCCAGCGGCTTTCCCCAGGGTCGTCTGGGAGCAACTCCGCAGTGTCACGTGGATTTCCTTCGGCTCAGGGGCTCGTCTTGCAAATTTTTTTGAATCCCCCAGAATGGTGGAAGAATGGGAATTCCGCCCCAAATATATATATATATATGTATCTATATATATATATATATATGGAATAAAATCCCCCCCCAAGAAGTAAATGAACACCATACAAGCAGGGAATCCCCAAACTCCTCCCCCCCCAAATCGCCTGAAGCTATGCTTGCACATGCGGGAATCCCCCAAACCCCCGAATCTTCAGGTGCACAGGTGTCCTTGTTCGGGTTAAATTGGTTAGAAAATGATGGCACTGCTTTAGATGGATTCTGTTGCCCGCGTACCAGGGAAACCCATCTATTTTGCCAAAGGACACCTATGCTCATGATGGTTGTCCTTCTGTTTTGCCTCACAAGTTTTAAAGAGAAAACATATGGGGGGTTTATCAAGAGGTCCTTTACATGAAATGACCATTGGGTGCAATATTTGATATTTCCCACATTGGGGCAGGTTACCCATGGTCAAAGCTGAAGGCCGAAGGGACCTTGTGATGAACCCCCCAAAAGGACAAATATATAGCCGCGAGAAAAAGAAAAAGATATGGCAAAAGGGGTGTGTTTGGTTTCCTGTAAAACCAGCCCAGGTCTAGCCATGGTGCTTTGGGGGCCGAACGGAATATTGATGAACCCCCAAATGGACAAGTATTTAAGAGAATTCCTATATGTCTCCTTCCCTTTTCTCCGTCTATTCATATAGACATCACAATGGCTGAATGGAAAACCACATGTTGCCCTATGTTTCCCTATAGTTTCCTGTAATTCCGCCCTACGTTTCCCCACGTTTTTCTATGTTTCCCCATGTTTCACGGTGTTCCCCCATGTTTCCCTATAGTCCCTAGGCTTGGTGGCTCCCAGCCATCCCCGTAGCTTTTTAGCCTTTTAGTGTTTAGTGGTAGTTTCCATTCAACCCACCAAAAGTTTTTCACTTTTAGCGGGGGATCTGAGGGCAGCTTAGGTTTTTTCCTATTTCCCTATACTTCCCCTATACTTCCCCTGTTTCCCCTGTTTCCCCTTTTCCCCTGTTTCCCCTGTTTCCCCATGTTTCCCCATGTTTCCCCATACTTCCCTGTGTTTCCCCCACGTTTTTCCTTGGTTTGCAGGGAGCCTGGCCCCAGAATTTTTTGTTTCCCCCACCCGAAGCCCCGCCGCAGCCCTGCAGGTGGTGAAGGGCAAGCCCCTCTACGTGGGCTTGGCCGAGAAGCGCGAGGTCCGCGCCGAACGCCTCCGCCGCCCGGACGGGTGGCAGGGGTCATGTGGGCGGGAGCCTGTTGTTTTAAGCCAGTTTTTTGTTTGTCTTCCCGTTTCTTTTTGTTGTTTAATTATTTTTAATAGTTCTTTTTCTTCAGTTGCTCGAAAGGTACCAACTGGAAAAACACATTTGTGTTTGAAATACGTTTTCGTTTTTTCTTTTTTGGGGAGGGAGGGTGTGTCAAAAGAAACCCAACAGGAACAACATGTTTGTTTGTGTGCGTGTGTTGTTGTTTTTGTTGGGGGGGAGGAAAACCAACAGGTCCGAAAGTGGCGTGGCTTGGTGGAACGGTGTTGACCCATCAGATTGATCAACTTGGGAAGGGATTTCCCAGTGACCCCTTCAATCTAAGAAGGGTTGGACCAGGGTTTTTTTTGATATATAGCCATAGCGACTATTTAAAGGGTGCGTTCCTTGATGTCCCATGAAGGTGGGGGGAAGGGTTGGGTGTTGTGGACCCCAATCTTTGTTTGAGGAAATTGATCTTGCAGATAGGTTCAGGTGGAATGCCGGGAGGAACGCTTTGCGGGTAACTCCGTGTGGTCGCCTATTCAAGGATTCACATTGCTGTAAGGTGATCTAGGTTCTTATTTCCCGCGGGATGGACACTGGCAGGCGATGTTGCAGGTTCTTCAGTTTTGTTTATCTGGGTATGGTGCCAGAAGCATAGCTTTGAAATGTCAGCAGTGCGAACCCCAACAGGTGGGTGGGCGCACCCAAGGCAGGCTTTCATCTGGCAATCTCCGGCCCAGGTCAGCGCTACTCCCCGAGCGGTGTGGGGGGCAAGGGCATGGGCGGCAAGGGCAAGGGCGGCAAGGGGGGCATGGGTATGGGCGGCGGCGGCGGCATGTACGGGAACCCCATGGGGGGTATGATGCCCGGCATGGGCCCGATGATGGGCATGGGCATGAAGGGCCAGGGCATGGGCCAGGGGATGATGGGCAAGGGCAAGGGCATGCCCAACATGCCCATGAACCCCCAGATGATGGGCATGGGCCCCATGGGCAAGGGCATGCCCAACATGATGGGCCCCATGGGCAAGGGGGGCATGCCAATGCCCATGGGCATGGGCCCCATGAACCCCATGGGCATGATGCGCCCCACCATGCCGCAGATGCCGATGATGCGCCCAGGACTCATGGGGGGATGCGTGGTAAGTTCTGGGCGGAGTTTTGGGCTAGTCCCTCATGAAGGTTGAAGCGTGTTTGGCATGAGCATGCTTTCTGTTGTGCTTGATTTCAAGAGAAACCACCACCGGAGACAAGACAAAAGGGTCCTTAAAAGGATTCAAAGCTTGCATTGCACGGGTAAGACTCCTTGGATCAGAAATCTTTGGTAAGAACCTTGCCCAAAGGACCTGGAAATCAATTGCACACTCTTGGGCATGAAGTCAAGGGCCTGGAGTATCAAGTCGCCCGCTTCAGACACGCCAGGCACAATCAACTCCTCCTGCCGGCTGCCGGAGATAGTCCCAACCATAAATGGGCGGGGCCACCCTCTTGATTCTTTACAGGGTTTGGGTAAGCCAATGTAAATACCAGGTGGTGATATTGACTCAGGTGTAGAACAACAGCAGAGACTTGTGCACTTGTATAGCATCCCGACTGAATCAGAGCTTTGTATTGGTGCCTGCTGCGATTTTGTGTTTGAAGATGGGGAACGTTGATGGAATCCTTGCAGCACACATGTTTGGCAAGGTCCGCTGATGTTGAAGTTGCTTGATGTTGAAGTTGCTTACTTTCGAATTTCCCTAGTCCTGTATTTCCTTGCTTGGTTGAACCATCATCTTTTGGGGCCATTTTGGGGTGATGTCTGACATGTGAGCAACCGTCAATATCACTAGTCTGTTGCTCATGAGAGGACGCGGGGAACACCCCAAGCCCCGGTTCTCGAAACAACTAGCGGCCCCAATTGAACTCACCGTGCTCTTGCGCCCCCCGGCCCGTTGCAACGGCCGCGCGCGAGCTGGCTTTTTTTTTCCCCCCGTGGAGGAATGCCGAACCCCGCCATGCCCCAGCCTCAGAGCCAGCCTGCCGGCGGAGGAGGAGGCGGTTGAACCGGGGTGGGGGGGGGGGAGTGGCGATGGGGGTGAAAGGAGCGAAAGTTGTGGGATCCCGCATATCAGGTTTGGACGCATACTGTGAAAATTGTAGTTTTTTATTTTCCGCCGCCCCAAACCTGTTTGACCTGCGGCTCCACCTTGTTACAACTGGTTTTCTTGATTCTCACACATACACCCACTCATTCTGACTGAATGCTTTCCTTTGAATGATCCCTTCTTCCAATCTGTGCTTGTTCTTGGCCGACCGGCTACAGCGACCTCTATCGTTAAGCGATCTCTTCCATTAAAGGGCCCTAAGTGCATCTCGGCGCAGTACTGCGGTTGAGGTTTCCAGACGGTTGGAGATATGGCTGTGGGTCAAGACCAATTGGGATAGGTGCATTACTCATTTTAGGACCTATTTTAGTGGGGATTGAATCGGATGTTCACTGGGGGCTAAGTGATTTGGCTTTTGACCCATGGCCATATTGCGGTTTCCACCAGGCACCCAAAGGTGCAAGAGTCACCAAGCTGCTCAACCTGCTAACGCCTCAAAGACGCGCATCTAGGAACCTCGAGCCCGCGCCCCAAATTTCTCAGAGCCCCTGGCTAAGATATCCGTTGGATGGCAACTCCCGAGCCGATGGCTTCTGCGATTCCTTCTTGGCAGCTTTTAAGATTGGAAGCTGGCTGGCAAGAAGGTTCCCATACTTGTTTGCCCAATGGTCGCTTTCGGTCCAGGCCCTTCAAGTTGCTGAACATGTCGACCCCTTTTTCCAGCTGGAAATGGCTGCGTTTCAAAAGGCGGCAGTCTTCATATGTCGATGTGTAAAGTCCAAGGGTCAAGCCATTTTCCACCGAGGCTCAAGGCCAGAAAAGGTTCCTTTGAGCCCCAGGAACTGAAGGCTACCCGCTCAAACATCGAGCCTCATTTTCCTCAAGGGGCCAGGGGTCATGCGAGCCTAGGTCGATTCCACTCATTCGAGCCCCGGATTCTAGCTAACTTTGAGTAGGGGAAGACCAACAGGTTTCCTCCCTCTTTTGACATGGCACGATCTCCAAACCGGCGCCATCTTCAAGGTAAGCCGAGTGAGGCCAAGTGAGGCCAAGGGCACGGGCCAATCTGCCATCTTTCAGATGAGAGATCATGTTGCTCGCAAATAGTACCCAACCCCCAGTTTAAATTCAGGGGGTGTCCCTGGGTGAAATGTGGGGGAATTAGACCACTTGTGGAGGGGAACCCCGCCCCTGGTTGGTTGACTAGTATGGGGTCAACATTACCACAAGACCAAGGAAATCGAAAGATAAACCATTGGGTTTCTGAGTGGTGCATGTGTTCGTTTAGTCCAATCTTCCATTTACTTTCAGATGAGAGATAATGTTGCTCGCAGATTAAGCAACCCCAGTGAAAAAACATCACGGGGAACACCATATTGGTAAACCGGTTGGTGGATTCATCTGGGTGTGGCTCAAAATTAAACAGGAGGGGCAAACCGCAGGTTTTGGCCTCAGTGTCCACTTCCCAGGGCTTGCGCCATTTTGGAATTCCGGTTTGTTGAGCCATCTGGGGTTACTCCAAGCTTCCCTTGCCAGGCGGTCAGCTCACCGCTGCAGCCTTGGCTGCCGCCCCCCCGCCGGTGATGCCGGCGACGTTTGCTGCGTCGGTTTGCTTTCGAGGGTTTGCCATGAGAGCGGCGAGTCCAGCAGTTCCCCTTTCAACGGTCTTCGCCCGACCCCTTGGCGTTCCACTTTCTGGTTTCAAGGGGGGTCGAGTGAAGCCTACATAAATAATCATACATATGTAAATGAGTATGTATATAAATATACATCATATATATATATATACACATGTTTGTACAGATGTACGTGTATATATATATATACATATAATATAATACAATACACAGATGTAAACCGTGGTACCCATTGGGCAGGAACCAAAGATCCCCGGCTTTGGCCGCCGCTCATTTTCCAGGTGCAGAAGCAGATGATCGGCGAGCGGCTGTTCCCGGCCATCTCCAAGTATCAGCCGGAGCTGGCCGGAAAGATCACAGGCGCCTCGGCTCGGCGTTTGCGGACCAGCGGTTGCGAGCGCCCCAAATCCTCTGTTCGGTGTTTGGTCTCGTTTTTTCCAGGGGGCGAAGAAAAGCAAACGCAAGCTTGAGCTTGGCAAACCTGGATGTTTCGAGCATGCCAAAAAGACCTTTGCGGTTTCCACAGCTTGCGTTTTGGTTTTTCGCCTTGGGAATGAGTATTGGCAGAAGTATTGCTTAGCTTTATCCAGGGGGGGTGTTTGCGGGTGCCAGACATGTTTTTTCTTGTTTTTCCTCCTTTCACGCAACACCCTGTGGGCGGAACCTTTTAAATTTTTGGCTCGCCCTGGTTGAGGCTAAAGCCTTATTGGTTGGTTGGTCGTTTGGATCCGTTGAGAGTTGCTCGGGTTGATTTGGGGTGAGTCTTACAATGCTTCAAAGTATTAGGTCACCCGATGAGTATTTATACAGAGGGCTTGTTTGGGGTTCATTTGAGCTCGGGCTGGGAAAGCAAGTCCACTCACCGTCCAACCGCCTGCCGTTTTTCAAGCTGTGAGCTCGGTGAACCCGGCACCTGCAGGTTTTGTGGCGAGTTTCTCTCTGAAAAGGGCCCCGAACCCGGCGAAAGGGGCTCTCTCACAATGAAAGCTGACTGGCGGGTTGAAAGACGACTTTCCTTTTGGAGGAGCAGCTCCATGTCCACTTCCATTGTTGGAAATCCGAGCAGCTCCAAAGAAGCAAAAGAAGGAAGACAAGAATGGAAGCGCCGAGCGGCCGCCGAGCCGCGTGGTTTAGGCGAATGAAATCGATGCATCGAAATCTCGGTTTCGATGCGCGTAGGAATGATGCTGGAGATGGACAACTCCGAGCTGCTGATCCTCCTCGACAGCGATCACCAGCTGAAGGCGAAGGCCGGCAGCAGCGAAACCGAGCTGAAGACGTCTCGCGCGAACCGCGAGCGCGAACTGCGAGAGGGGGGCTGGGTGGTTTG